TCCTTTCCAACCTTAGTGATTCTGTGAATGCTACTGATGCAACACCCTGTCTCCAAATTAAAATCTTACATGCCAGAAAAATTACATAATATTCTACAGAAATATCCAGTACACCACTTAGGCTGCATGCAATAGTTCAAAATATTCTATAGCCTTAGTTACAGTAAATATAAAGCATAGATCAATACATATCACAAATAAAAATATCACTTGTTTTTAGTCCTCTAACATCCTCATGAGGCTGTTTTCACAGAATGGATTATCTCATGTATGTATACACAAAACCTGATTATGAATCATCACATACTATGATATACTTTAAACTTTGAGACCTATTTCTCATTGAGTATTTTGTACATATTCAATATATATTTCTTTTTGCCTAATAAAACTACTTGCTAGATTAAGTCCAGTGAGAAAACACAGGACTGAATGCTACCACACTACTCCTGCAATTCCCAGAGAATGTTATTTTCAAAATCTCAAAGACCAAAACCCTAGAGCCATCCGCTCCAGTTCTATCTTCCACATCAGCTTGGTCCCAACTGATGAGGAAACTCACATTTCCAAGTATTTGCCACACATTTAGCAGGACACAGTGTCTCACAAAGGTTCCCTCTATCAGCTGGGAGAAGCCTAAGTCAATTCAGTGAAATCTGACAGTGGCAGAACTAGCTCTAGCAGTTTCTTAGCACACTACTAACAATTTTGATTTACTTGACTGATTCAGGAAATCATACCCAATAATCGTGCTTAGAAATCCTAGTGTCCTGAAACTGTTCAGCATTTTCATAGTTCTGTCAAATGAGCCTTTATACAGTATAATACTGATCACAGTTACTGAATAAACTACAAGAAAATACTTAGATTGGCTGACACTTGCAAGAGAAATTCTTAGTTTTGTGTTGCGTATGACTGAATTCAGCTAACTGCTTTGAACGGATTCAGCATGGCAAGCTAATAAACTAACCTTGACTATCAAGCTGACCTACACTGATACATATGTTGGCCTTTTCCTTCTCTTGTCTTGGACTCTCCTATCATCTATTTCTACATTTTGAAAACTTAGGCTTGTTACAACTGGGCTGAACATGAACACTACCATTATCTGCTCCAAGAGAGCTTGTTCTGTATGATTCTGATTTGTAAGGGAAACGAAGCTCCTCCCTCACTTTGCATGTCACATTAATACATTATTTAAGTCACACTGTCTCTTTTTTCTTAATACATATTATACTGGCTTGTCAGAACTTAATCTTCTTTGTATACTCACCTTTGGGAGCTTGAGTCATTAGCATTACAATCTCAAAACTGTACTTTATCAACACCACAATTCAAAGTTTTTTGCATATAAAAATCAAAATACAAAGCATGCTCAGGCTTCAGTTTTTTTAAGAATACTCACCTGATTGTGAACTTTACTCCTAATACGAGACCAAGCTCCATCTTTGTAGAAATACTGGGCTGGAGACAAAAATTTTGACCTATATTCAGTGTTCATCTTCCTAAGAAATCAAGAACAGGGAAAAAAGACAGAAAGAATAAAGCTCAACATCCAGAAGACTCTTTAAGAGCACTTTTAACATTATACCAACAATCATAAGTGTATTTATACTTAAATGACAAGGATGAGATGTGAAAAACACATGCTTTAAAATACAGCTCATCCATAACACCACAACTAGGAAAGCTGCGAAAAGCTCATTCACAGTTGGTGGCTCTTCAAGTAGTTACTCCTGTTGGTTTTTCCTCACAACCCTTCTGCCAGAAGCTTTTGCCCTGATAGCCAAATCAGCAAAACATAATAGACACATAAGCCTCAATTACTTCAGTCCAAAGTAGAACATCTTGGTTTAATCACTGATGAAGGTACATTTAAAGTAAAAATGCCTCATTTGGCACTAATATGTCCAAGACATTACCTCCTATGAACCCAACTCTAAAGGCACTCTGTATATGGGTGGCGTGAACTGTTGTGGCTAGCAACATCCGACTACCAGAACAATGGTCAGTATAATTCATCTAACTGTGTCCTACTGCCTTTGATCTTCAAAAGGCCTCAGTACTTGAAAAGATGGATTCATTTGCCCTTCTGCCACACACATACATACATAGAAAAATTAACATCATCTAACCTATAGCAATCCATAAGCAATGCTTGAATTCCTTAAGCACTGAACTGTGGATTTCTCAGCTTAAATCTGAAGAGGTTTCTGGTTTTAATCTTGCTTCAGAATATCACTAACTTTATTTTAATATATCCAGCACTGAATGAAAAAGCCCTCTTTTTCAGTCCTTCTTCAGAAATAAATCATGAAAGCCTGAAGTCAGAGAATAAAATGCACTCTGTAAAAAGAAAAATACCAAGGCAAAAAAACCCCCTTAGATTCAAAATTTCTTTCCATATGTCCCTTTCTTTGAAACCCACAGAATTCCTTCAGTTTTGGTTGCAAAACTAATGGATTTACTCAAAAAAAAACATATCACTGCTGTGTCTTGATCCCAGTCATTCTGCTGCAAAAGCAGGCCATGAAATGAAGCTTGCCTACAAAGTGACAGTCCTGTCTGCACATTGAGAACTTGCACATTTTGGCAGCTATTTGCCCAGTGACTGTTTGGAACCTTTTGTCTTGTGCTACCACACTGAAGGCATAGGAGGCAGAAATTTCTCCTTAAATGAAAAAAGTCATAGCAAACCATCAAGAATTTTACACACTACTCACTGGAAAATTGACTACAATCTACTATGTCAAAAAGCTATGAAAACCAAGGAGTTAAAGGTTTTAACTACACTATATGCACTCACTTTTTCAAAAAGCAACTTTATTTCATAGAATTTTGGGCGATCATTTTGTAATTATCTCCCAATATCCAACAGCATTCAGATCTAGGTAAGTTTCCTCTCCCATGTTTAATCTAACGCCTTAACACTGGCAGAAAGTCATGTGAGAGAAAGCAGCCACTGGGATATACATTAAGCACAAAGATAGCAGAGATGGATCCATTTATGTATTTTTAAACCCACATCCCTTCTGGGCTTTTACTTCTCTTGGCATATCTCAAATATGTAGAAAATGGAAACATGAGTTCATTTCCTGCAATGTAGGTATGTGGCAAAAGAAAAAGATACTTTGATAACGCTCAGTAACATACAATTTAATTTTATTTCCATGCTTGTCAGATTACCCTAAATGGGACAGATTTCTTTACTTCCCTTTACCGTATGTGTTTACTTTTGTTACTCTGGGACAGAAAGTGGTACAGACTAGAAAAAGCAGACATCGAGTACAATCATCACAGGTTTAAGGCATGGAGCAAACACAGGACAGCAGTTTAAAAGGTGACTACAACTTCCAAAGCACTCACTGAAAGTTTAGTACCAGCACTGCACCAATTTAATTTCATTCATGCTAAATTTATGAATAATATTGCATCAGAAGGTTCAACTGAATGTGTGTGGTTACAAAGGCTCCACTTCTGCTGCCCAGAGAAGGAAATAGAAATTAACACCAGGTTTAGATGTACCCACAGGAAGCTCAATCCCAGCACTGCACGGGGGCATTTGCCCCTGCAACTGCAGCATGGCATGGTTAAAGGTTCATCGTCCATCATTCGAAATACTAGGCTGCTGTACACCTATTCACTAGGCTAGGTTTTCCTATTTTATACATACCCACGACTTGTATGTAAAGAGAGGGGCTTTGGATTGATATGTTGCTTATTTTTTTGTTTAGGATGTTTCTGTTCTGATTTCCCTTGTTTTGCTGCATCTTCTGCTGGCTTTTGAAATGGTTCTTCCCTCTTACTCTAGGGCAAAGATAATTTTAAAAATACCACATTAGCTAACAATCTGAAAACCCTCATATCCCTTTTGACATTAAGCTTTTGCAAAAAGTTAATTTTATTTTAGTGTTAACTGGTTTGCATATTTAATACAAACAAGAATATTACATTCCTTTGTTAATACAAAAATAAACTAGCAAAATGCCAAAACTAAGATTTTGAGTGCAGCATTCAGTTAGGTAGATGATCCATTTTGTACCCTTTACAAAAAGAATTTAACATGAAACACAGAAATAAAACAATACGGTACCTGTGCATTCTAACCAGAGTTGTGTAAGACTTAACATGGATATTTCTGTAGTTTGTAATAAATACAAAAAGAAAAAAACTCTTAGCTTTATAGTCAAGCAATATAAACCAATCTATAATAAACCAAAAGGCAAATTTTTAATCTGCTGCCATTCTGATTTATAAAGGGTCAGATTGACTTGTTCAGTTTTCACATCAAAGATTTTTCTTTTCCTGCTTATTTTATCCTCTCAGATATCTCATGCATGATTTCTGATTCTGCTAGAGATCTTCACAGATATTGTTCAAATTCAAGGGAAAAAAAGGAAAGCAAAAGAAGCCCACCAAAATCCCCCACAACTTTTTCAAGATATTCATCAGAGATACCAGTATAAATAAAAAGTGTTTTCGACACTTTCATTGAGATTCCCTTCCCATGCCTTCTCTTCCTTCACTTTATTAGCTCTCTTGGGAAAACATAACCTGAATTTCCAATATTAAAAGCAAAGAAATGCTTTCTGAAAGCCTCATGCCTTTCAAGCTTTCTTTAAATCTGCTAAAAGAGGCAAAAGGGGACATAAAATTCCTCACTTCCAGATGAGATTTAAAACACTCTGTTTTATCAAATAACAGAGATGGATACTGAAGAGACTCGTATGTGGTCCTTCTACCTGAAGGATGGTTACCTAACCTGCAGGAATTTAGACAACACTACACTGGGCAGCTCGCTACAAAACCAGACATTCATATGTCCATCTTGCAAAATAGGTTAGCTGTCATGCAGTCTAAACTGCTCTCACCTATTTTTAGAAGGTCTCAGTCTGAACCAATTCTTTTTCATTAAATGTATCTGGTAAAATGGCCATAGCCATGGTTCCTAAAAGTCCACTTAAGTTTGTCCAAGCCAACACCAAGAAAAGGAAATGCAAGGCCTCAGACAGCCAAATTACTTTCATAAAAGACATTTTAATGCTTTGAACTGAGTAACAGAGCCTATGTAGGCTACAAAATGTCCTATTATAGCCCTGTGCTAAATACAATTACTTACCTTTCAACTTATCAAGGCAAAGGCAAATTAATTGTAACCCTTCCTCCATGTTTCTTCAAATTGCAGCTATTGGGTGAAAATCAGTTCCAACTGTGTATCTTCCATACATCAAAATATTTTTTTTAAATTCACACTATGCCTGATGTATGAGATCCAAAAAGTTCCAGCCCTCTCATCCAGCCCTTCTGCATACCAACAGTACATACACTGATACTAATGACAGTATAAATCAGAGATGTATATTTCAGAAACTATCCTAATAACTAAAAACAAAGTTTCAATTTAAAAAAAAAAGAACCCACTTTAAAACTCATAAATTAAAGCAACAGGAAAAAACACACTTAAAATGTCATTGTAAATTGAATAAACGCACTATAGAAACTACAGAATCAACTGCAGAAACCCCCTAAGAGGAAACAAAACTGTACAGTGTTATTTTCAGTCTTTTGTAGCAAAACCACTACTAACCAAGTCCAGTGACATTAGTAACAGCTCTAAAATGTGGCTAAAAAACTTCAAAATAAACCCACCCCCGCATTATAGAAAAGAACAATCAAAATTATAGAAGCATATTAATGCCTTTCTTTTAGGGAAATACTTTTTCACAAACCAGAAACTCTTTCTCTTCTGAACCACCTGTGTCTTGTGGACCTTTAACAGGAGGAGACCCTTTGAAATTTGTCTCATGTGCAGTTTCAGAAGTAATTGCAGGAGATTTAAACGTAGATATGGATTTACTTGTGTTGCAAACAACCTTTGGAGAAAGAAAACAAAACAAAACAAAACAGTGTGATTTGCTTAGCTTAAGGCCAGATTTTCAAAATCAGTTAACCAATTCATGCAAATACACTCAGATATGAACAGAGAGATGGTCATGTGTACAAATACAGCATGTGCAGATTAAGTAACTTCTAGGAGAAATTGAAGAGAAACTTGACCTGATAAAAATACAGCTAAGTGATGGAGTCAGACACAGTTAAACCTGTGGTCAAACGCTGTTCTTACTGAAGCTCACTAACAGAGGTTTTCTTTATTGAGGAAGACAGTTCACCTTCAGAGTTGTATGTAGGATCATATTTTAAAACATATGCCATAAAACTGCCCTATGAGTTCTCAATATACGTCCAGTTCATAAGTAACAGACAACTGTTCTGTGTTTTAGAACTGGATGCTTATGTCTTGGCAATTTGAGCTATCCACTATTTTCCAATCAATACTGTATTATAAACCACAGTAGAGAATTTGCCTAATAGGTGATCAGGTATCATCTCCTCATGGGGTGCTGAATTAAAAGACCATGCCATATGTCACAAGCATACATTTTCCCCATCTTTGCTATGAGAGTTTAGGTCTGACTTATAACCTATGTTGGATAACTTTGGTATTTCCACAGAATCTCAAGTGAAAGGTATTGCCATTCTTCAGTATTCAGGTATATTCTCCATCGTATCAATACCAAGCAAAAGAAAATCAGTTTGTTAATACATCAAATTTTTACCATGAAACTCTAACCTTAATTTTAGAACCTGCAAATATTTATATATATTTAGATATTCTCTAGGTTCTATTTACATAAGGATTTATAGTGCCTACAGACTTATTCTACGGCTTCTTATTCTGTGTAAGTTGTGCAAAAAAAAAATTTTCTATTTTAGATTCCACAGTCTTTCTTCTGAAATAGCACAATGTTCACAAGCATCAATAATAAAATTATCAAACTGATTTGTAATAGAATCAAATTGAATTCTCTATGAAATTTTCCATAAGGTGACATTCTTGGACCTGCCTCTTCCTCAAATGGTCCTTTGGCTTCCATACTATTGTCATGCATTTCAGAGAGTTTTCCTTGGATACGGGACTTATGGGAAACAGATATCTCAAAGTAAGTCCACCTGCTTGGCATTCCAACAAGAAAAAGACAAGAACAGTTTTTATAGTGATTGATCCTAGTTACCAAAACTTATTGCCTCTGAAAGCTGGTACTGAACAAATCTGCTACCTGTGGGTACAGAGACAGCACCATCTGTAATAAACCCATTGAAGTATATGCCCCTAGTGCAGAAACAGAAGACAAAATAAAAGCAGAAGTGCCTATTTTATACATTTATATGACAAAATGATGGACTGAGTCTCCTAAGTCCTGATCCCAGCAACAAAGAATTGAAAACACAAAGCAGCCTCACAGAGTTCCTCTTTGTGGTCTGATTAGAAATAGCAGCATTTCCAATCCTACAAGTCCAAAACCTCTGACAATTATCAAAATGCCACAAGAGTGTCTTAAAATCAGAAGATTGCACTTTTAAATATAAGCAGTTCTCATGAAAAAAAAACCCGCAAAGATGCACTTTAGGGTCTAGAAGTATATGTGCACAGAGATGGAGACTGAGAATAAGAAACCATGGTAACCCATAAAAGACCATGAGAATAAATAATGAAACCCAAACAATTTCAGTGGCAAGACTTGTTATCACAATACAGAACACCCAAACATTCATCTGTTGATAGCTATATATTAGGTAACATAAAAATGGTAAAAATGAAGGGTAACACTGAGTAGGATCTTAGAGCTCATAAGGTAAATTAATGCAAACAGAAGAAAATGGTCCTGTTAGAAAGGATGGAATACAACCAGGGAGAAAAAGAACAAGTAATTAGACCTGACTACAATAAAGAATCACAGGGAAACAAATCTAACTATACTGCACTTTTGTACATCGGAAGAAAAAAAACCAAAACATGTAACAGCATTCAAGTTTGGACCCCCACCCTACCAAAGAGGAAGAAATGAAATCTTCGAAAGTAAGCAACTTTGCTGATAGGTGAAAGGAAGTATTCATTTACTTTTTGGATTCGTTGAAGTTACCTGCTCAGCTGCAAGTATTGGTGACTTTTCATGAGGACTTTTCCAAACAAACTGGCTTTGATACTCAGAATTTCTGGGGAAAGTATTTAAATGTGAAATATTTATGCCTGCTTTCCTCTGAAGGACTCTGTGAAGCTGACAATATAAAAAAGAAAAAAAATTAACACCACTTGTTTCCTTTCCTACAACAGTTTGCAAGTATCTTTCAATGTACATTTTAAAACCAATGGTTTGGGGTTTGGTTGTATGAATTAAATTAATGCAAAGTACATTTTCTCATTACAGCCAACAACCCCAAAATGTCTATACATTATTGGTTAAATCCTTGTTCAACTGAAATCAATTGGGATGGCATATGAAGGGCAAAATTCCTATTGACCTAAGTGGAATCAAAATCTGGTCTCAAAAGAGATTGGTTCTCCCAGCAGAGAAACTATAAAGTAGAAGAACATCAAAATACAGAACTAAGGAGAGAATTAGACAACAGAGGCTGGTGTATGTGTATTACTGTAAATTTCAGATTAGTAACATTTATACTGGTCAATTAAAATATACACATATCTTCCCTTACCCCATTACCCATTTTTTCAAATTCCTTTTTTGGAGATGCAAATGCTCCATTTTGATTTGGCGGAGCTGCAGAGGGTGATTGCTTCATGTTGTTTTCTGCAAGGGCAAGACCCGTTTCACGTCTAGAATCTACCAAATGTGACTGAACTTCTGGGGGGAGTCTGGGTCCTTCTGGCGTTTCAACTTTTTCCTGATTCACATCATTGTTGTTGTGGTCTGTGTGTAACTCTGCAGTCCTAAGAGCCTCAGCTTCAACTGGGTCATTCAAATCACAATCTGCTGTCCATTCAAAGGACTTCGAAATCTGTGGATTATGGTAAGGAACCCTTCTCTTGGAAATGAAGTTTGGTTCTCTTGTGATTCCTGAAAAAGACATACTGGGTTTAACAAAAACATTCTGTTGAAGACATAAGATCACTCTATTACAAGAGCGAACTGAAAGTTTATCATACAGCTGATTATTAAAAAAAACTGTTTCAATATCTTTGAGCCTATGAATTACAGGCACAGCTGTGAAATTGTGTCTTCTGTCCCATCTGCGAATGCCTTTCCACTAAAGAGAGATGAGAACATGGTGCTCCAGGACCATGTTGTATAAAGCCCTATAAAGCAAATATGACCACAGGACAATCTTTTGCAAGTTGATTGAGCTCAACAACAACAAAATTCACACAGCCAGTGAAAAGAATGTGGTTAACACAGATAGAGAATATCCAACCTGCAATGATAAAAAAATGCCACAAACACTTCTCATTGCACATGCATAATATACCTTGCTGAACAGGTTCTCACCTACTGTGACAGGACAGTGACAGATCCCTATCCATCTAATACAACTGTGATTTAAAACCATCTCAGCTAGCTGGTGACTTTACAGTACAAACACAAGAATATTTCCAAAATTCTAAAAAATGCTATGTAACAAAACCAGGTATCAAGTTGTTTTAAAGAATCGCTGGCCATTACATGTGCAGATGAAAATAAAATTACCCTGTCATTTTAAGAAGAGGATTGAATGACTTAACACATTTAAAGTGGGAAATCATAATCCAACTGCAAAGTGCTCAACTGCGAATGACAAATAAATGAAGGCCCCTAACTGGCTGAAAGAAATTCTTTCTAAGAGAGAGAGAAATTTCTATCTCATGAAAAAGCAATATAAAAAGAGAGGAAAACCTACAGTGAAAAGTATACCGAATGTCTGGATGTCTAAATACACATACAGGTGATAGAAAATAATTCCAGTGGAAAAACACTGGAAAAGTAGCAGGAAGGAACTCGGAGCACCTGCAACTGCTAACTTTTCGCGGTGATGTTCCAAGTCATTCTTAAAACTGCCAATTAAGTGTTTCAACAGGAAGAACCACAGGTTCAAGTTAGTTATCAAAAACAATCTGCAAGTCCTATGAGGTGTCAAGAAGTGACATTTGAAGATGCACAGGGTCGCATGGCCAGAAAAGAGATGGGAGTGAAAATGAATGCAAAGATGAGGAAAACTATACCAAGCAGACACAAAAACACCACTACAATGTGAGGAGGATTGCTAACTCATTACTTTATTGCAAGTCTTGTAAAATTTGCAGGTTAGTTCAACTGGAAAAGAAGCATAGCTTATAATTCCAAAAAGAAGTTAATGTGTTTCAATGTTTCAGAATTCGTGGAAGTTATTCTCTTCAGTACAGGTGCCCATACAGAGACCCATGTGCTAGGGAAAGCAAGGTTAAAGAAATATATATTTTTGCAGTAATGGAATAAAGCAGTAATATAGATAAAGCACAATCTTTGGCAATATTAAATTATTTATTAAAATGTCTAGTATCTCAGGTGAAAACATCCATACTCCCAGTAGTTGGTTCTTAATTACTAGGCCATAATTTAGAACATTTATCATATTGTAGGAATGAATATATTGGACTCTAGACTGCACAGTGTGGTTGCACTGAATTGCACAATTTTGTTAATCTGTCTTGTGCCACTAGAATAATTCCTATTTCTTACTGCTCCTTTTCAAAGCACTGCATTTGTCATCATTCTGCAACTTACTCCTTTTCCTCAACTTTCCGTGGGCCTTTCAATCCAGATGCTATTTCCTTCCTCTTCTACTTTCCAACCCCACATTTTCCTGCCATGATAATGTCTACAACACCTAACTCCTACACTACAGCATCACAGGCTTTTCTATGTAATGGCCAGCTTTTCTTTTTTTTTTACCCTAGTTAGCTGCCCCTGTAGGTCTTCATAAAAATTTTACTTTGTATCAAACTCTGCCTTACATTAGTCTCCTCTTAAATACTGAATTTTACTGACTGTTTCCATGCACCGCAGGTAACCCAATGCCTCCTTCTACACACCCTGTATGTGTTAACACTGCATCTGTGCTTTATGTTTGGGACTCAGTTTACGCTACATGTCAGAACCCATGTATTTTTCATATATAAACAGCATGAACATTAGAAGAAAGTTTCAGTGCAGCCAGAAAGAATACGGCATTCAAAAACGTATTTTAAATTATGACCAGGAATATACTTTTAACTGTATAAAATGCACAAACTACCAGTTCACTGTGGCTGCACACTCCACGACAGCAAACCTCTCTAGACCTCCAGAGCCAGCTCGGACAGCGTCGGGGTCTGCAATCAAGGGGTCAGCTTTCAGGGGCGCTTACCAAACTGATCCGACCGAAGTCCTGCCCACAAGGATTTCTGCTGTTGGGACGGGCTACAAAACTCTGGGGTTTTCCATCTGAAGTTTCTCTTATATTCACTCAGTCCCTGTGGCAAGCAAAGAGGTGTCTTGTCAAGCGAGCGGTGCATCACCTGCTTCCCTGCTTCTGTTGGTGACAGATCTCCAAGGGGAAAAGCACCAAGGAGGCCGCAGCAGGCTTCAGCTAAGCTGGCAGATTGCTCTGCATCTTCCAAACCCACCCCCACAGAAGAGCAAAAACTACTTGATGGCTCTCCGAACAGCAGGAAACAGCATCGAGTAATTTCATGCACCAAAAAGTATGCAGAAGCTTATTTATAGCTTTAAGTTAATAATATTTCGGGAACAAATACAGCCTGAATCCTGTCACCCACACGACTGAATGCTTTTCTGTCTTTACAAGCCAGCGCTCCTCAGCGGGAGGGTCTCTCCTTTCCCGCTTCGCCGGTAGCACTCTCGAAACGGCTGCAACCCAGAAACGGCTGCACCCCTTCCTTCTGCCGGCTGCAGGGGAGCCCCGTCCCCCAGGCCCGGG